GCAATAATTTCTATAATTCCCACTTTTCTTACTTGTGTTAAAAAATATTAAACATTACAAAAGTTCTTAAAAACTATTTAACATGAGTTAACTTGGGTACTAACAACCCTCTGTCCTCTAGCAGGAGGCAAAATACAGGTCATAAAGGTCTATTCAGGGTAAGAGTTCGGAAGCACACAGGAAACACTAGTAGAGTAAAAGAAATGCTTGGCCAAAAGCTCATGAATGAACTACATCACTCAATAGTCTGGAACCTAGATGCACAAGGGGAGTCTTGAAGTCGCAAGTATTTCATAAGGATGCTTCGTAACAGGGTCCAAAATTAGAATTTAGTACACTACATTTCTAAGAGTTAAAAAGTTAAAACTGAGTGTCTTAATTTTTCTTAGGGAAAAAACCTCCACAATATTTAGTTTTTCTGTTATTGCCTTCATGTTATGCCTTCTCACTACTTCCCCACTGCATTTTCAGAGAATACCATGCAGTTGATAAGCTATTCAATAAAGATATTTCAAAGCATAAATATCCTTTTGGGCTCTAATGAGCCCTCTCTTACATTGCAGAAATTGTATATCAAAATAATTCAGCAACATGGAGATTACTTTTTAAAAGTGTATAAATGTTTTATTTTTTCCTTAAAAGGTTACTAAAGAAATTTGAACTATCCAACGGTTAGCAGACATCCAAAGATTAAGTGTGCTTAAACTTTTCTGCTGCTTTGATATTAAAGATGTCTGGTTTGCCCCTTCTGAAAGACAATCACAGAGTAGCTTTTCTTTAAATATCAGTCTAGTACATATATACTGAAAAGACAAAACATCAAAAAAAGAACAAAGACTGGTGACATAACAACACTTCTCTGGCAGCTTGACGTATTATAATTGAAATGCATCATCTACCATTGATGGTGCAAAATAAAGACCTAAATCTCTCCCCACTTATCTTTTTATTCATTCCCAAAATCCACAAAAGGCAATAATTATCGAGAGAAGTAATGTGATTTTAAATAATTTTTACTCAATTGCCTGCTTCACTGCGTCTTTAGATGCTGCAAGTGATGGGTAACCCTAAGATCTTGTCCCACCTTCATATCTTATTCTGAACAATTCCACAAAATGTTAAAGGCATACATGTGACAAATAAAAAGAATAGCTATAATCATAGTTCAAGTGTAAAATTAATAATTAAGTTTAGAGGTACTTTCATGTGGAAACTGGTTTGACTTTTTCTGCTCTTCCTGACATAAGAATTGTTTACAAATTCACCTTTAATATGCTATTAATAAAAAAGTCACTTTGTCCTGCCACCTATCTATGACTGGTAATTTAATTTAAAACAAACACAACACAAAAAAATAAAGTAAAACTCATAATTTTAAACAGAAAAATTGCCTCCACTATGTAGATCTGTATCTATAGCCTACTAAGTATAAATATCAAATGAGCTGATAAGCTTACATTCTGAAAAAAGTGTTTCTAATACTTCAGAAGGAAGCAAAACAATACAAATTTAATATATTGACTCAAAGAAGAAATACCAGCTTGAAACAGGAAACCAATAATGAACGAGAAGATACAATCCCAAATTTGAAATACATATTTGAGCCTTTTAAATAATTTGAAAGATTTACACCTGTTTTGTGAGGTGAATATAAGGAGAAGAATGGAGTAAACTTTCATTTTATAAGAAAACAGCATTAGCTGAACAGGAAGCTTCAATATTGGGCCACCTTGGCTTTGAACAAAGTATACTGAAGTGTCAGTACACAAAATTCACTCACTTTGTTTTTTATTAAGATAGGTGAAGGCTATAAAACCTTGAAGCAGAGTAATAGCAAATCAAACTACTAATATTAAAAGTGTTTCGGTGTATCAGCATAAAAAATGACAGGCCTAGAACACAAGAAAGCATCACACTACTAAAATGTCTGCATGAATAAGTTTACTTCTTAATATGACAGTGAATTATTTGAAACCACTACAGCACATACAGTCAAATTTTGGATACTGGCAAGTTTTCCATCAGTCTTCTTCAGACCTGAAAATTCTCATGTACAGTTAGCTTAGAGTTTCAGTTACCTCTCATAAGGGAACAATTTTATGTTTCTTACAGTAAAATTACTGTTCATAGAAAATGTATTGTGTTTTTCCATCTTGAAATATCAAATGCTACTAATATGAAGCAACTCTAACATTCACACTGTTGTATTTTTACAGTGTTTCTTACTTTTACAACTTCTTTTTATACATTATTCTATATTTTAACAAATGGGGCTGGATTACCACTCTTACGAAGACAGGCTGAGAGAACTGGGGTTGTTCAGCCTAGAGAAGAGACATTATAGCAGTCCTTCAGGACCTAAAGGGCGCTACAAGAAATCTGAAGAGGAACTTTTTACAAGGGCATGTAGTAATAGGCCAAGGCGGAGAATGGCTTCAAACTGACAGAGGGTAGATTTAGATCAGATATAAGGAAGAAAGTCTTCATTATGATGGTTGGGAGGCACCCAGAGAAGTTGTGGATGCCCTATCACTGGAAGTGTTCAAGGCCAGGCTGGATGGGTTTTTGTGAAACCTGGCCTAATGGAAGGTGTCCCTGCCCATGACAGGGGAATGGAAGTAGATGATCTTTAAGATTCCCTTCCAACCCATACCATTCTACAGTTCTATGAAATCATGAGCTGCCTGGCTACATATGGCAGTAGTGGCTGTATGCCATCTAATATAAGCCAACATAAAACCAAAATCCTGGAACAGTCAACTTTTTAGAATATTAGGACTGGTGAAGTTATAAGTTGCTGAAAATTTTCCACAGAGGTGGAGAAAAAATAATCATTAAGCATATTAACTACAGCTCATTATATTATTCTAAGACAATAAGCCTGAATAAGCCAGACCTGCATATCACATTGGCAGATTGCATTCAATGTTAAAAGAAAGAGCATCTGGTGGAGAAAAGCAATGCAACATCCAGGTGATTAAACATTTTGAAAAGTTTTCAGGAATATTATCTTTTGAAAGCAATTAATGTAAATCTGATAAAAAACTAATATGAAATTAATATGAAATTAAATTTAGCAACCCATCACCTCAGCAATTATTTTATTTCCACAGTCGTTTGCAAATCACCACAGTTATTACAGCTGTATCAGAAGTAGAAGTTACCTGTGAAACAATAGCAAAAAAATTCCTAGGGCTGATTTGCATTGAGAAAATTGCATAGCTGTGCTGGACTTGCACATCTATTGCTATGCCACTGATCTTCCTCCCTGATTACTTAACATTCTTCAACTCAATACAAGGAAAACCATTTTTACAGACAGCAGAGTACTAAAAAATACTTACTTACAGTTGTACCAATTACATGGGACTTTGTGCAGTCTAAGCAACAGGAAGAAAGGAAGAGGATGAGGAATATGGAAGAAAGTTGATGCTAATATTTAAAAATGTCAAGTTTATCTATAAATCTAGCTAAACAAAAAAGGAGAAAATTCAGATATAGTGGATAATAATATGTATTTTGAAAATGTGCATGGCATCACAGTTTATCAAATGCCTTCCCAACTACTGTATGAAAGTGTTGGTAATTGTGATTTTTTTGTTGTTATGCTGCTACTTCAAACAACCAGCAATCTGCACTATCTGATTACATTTCAGCGACCTGCATGGCTGTCTTCCTGAGAAAAACAGAATATTATCTGGAACAGACACAAATGTTAAGGGAATGTACTATATCCTTAAAATAGGTAAGAATGAAAGAAAAGTTAGGGATGTAAAACAGCCACATGTATGCTAATTTTGAGTTACCTGATTCACTTCTCATTCCTAATTTTGTGCCCTTGTGTACCCCACGCCTTCTGTTCAGGTTTTGATGAACACATTGCATACTTTTTTGCAGCTATTCAACTGGCATTACACATACAAATACTCCAAAAATACAGCTAACTTCAAAGATGCAAATCTGGGCAAGATAAAAACAAGCTACACATCCTACAGAAAGAAACATCACACTGTTTCCACGAAGAGCAAGCCTAGCCAAGAGGGTAGTCTGTAATATGCAACACATTTTCAATGTGGTGTTAGATACCAATATCATAACACAGAGGTACAGGAATTAATTTAATTAAAAAAAAAAAAAAACAAACCAACACCAAAAAAAAATCTAGCCAAAATAAGACCCCAAAAGAATTACAGCAATAACAAATAGACAATATTATCAAACTTACAGTCTCAAACTTGTTGAACAATTTTCAGGTCTCTGTCTAGGTGTAAATATGGTTGACATCTGGAAACTTTACCTTCCAACAGATGGTCATTCAACAGCCATAAATAACAGTGGACCTAATATAAGCTGATCAGCTAAATTTTTAACATCCTAATTCCTACTGAGCTCAGACATGATTAACTTTTCCTATTGTGAAACCATCCTATTGTGAAATCTATGCAGCTGTCCTGGGTTCAGCAGTAGCAGTCATTTTTCTCCTTCTTCGTAGCTGGTGCAGTGCTGTGGTTTTGACTTTCAGCCTGGGAACAGCACTGATAACACCGGTGTTTTTAGTTGCTGCTCAGTAATGTTTACTCTGACCAAGGACTTTCTGAGTCTCAAGATCTGACAGGGAGGAGGGGAAGCCGGGAGAAAGTAGAGACAGGACACCTGACCCAAACTAACCAAAGAGGTATTCCATACCACAGCACATCATTCCTGGCACAGTAAACTGGGGGCAGTTACCCAGAAGGGTTATATCACTGCTCGGGTTGGGCTGGGTATCAGTCGGCAGGTGGTGAGCAGTTGTACTCTCTTCCCTTGTTATTTCCCTTATAATTATAATTATTGGTGGTAGCAGTAGTGGTTTGTGTTATACCTTAGTTACTGGACTGTTCTTATCTCAACCCGCGGGAGTTACATTGTTTTGATTCTCCTCCCCTTCCCTCCAGGAGCGCAGTGAGAGAATGGCTGCGTGGTTCTGAGTCATGGCTGGGCTTAAACCATGACAGTTCTTTTTAAAAAAATGGAGGACGAGGGGCTCCCATGATGCCCATCTCCCCTTTGGCACCTGGAAATCCAGGTATTCCATCCCGGTCAGGTGGTCCAGGTGAACCCTGAGGCCCTGGGAGACCACGGGATCCTGGATATCCTGGGGTTCCTTGGTCACCTGGAGGACCAGGAATGTTGAAGCCTGGAGGACCTGGATCCCCTTTCTGCCCTGGAACACCCTGCAACCCTGGGGGGCCAACAGGACTTGGAGGTCCTGGAGATACAGGTGGACCTTGATGACCAATGCTAGGGATGCCTGGTGGGCCTGGGAGTCCTGGGGGTCCACTTGGTCCAGGGTCACCTTTGGGCCCTGGAGTTCCATCAAAACCTGCCCGTCCTGGGAGACCAGGGTTTCCTGGGAAGCCAGGACCACCTTCAGGTCCTTGAACTCCTTTTGTGCCTGGTGGTCCTCAGGGATCAACAGCGTTACCCTCAACAGAGCAGAGCACTGGTAGTCAGCAAGACATAATGACATTACAGCTAGAGTGTACAGTATCAGAATGATTTGATGCTTTGGCTAATACACATGTGCTACATACAGTGTTGAGTCCACATGTATTGTTGTATTTTGTTGTTGCCACCATTCAATGCTTCCTGAGCTAAGCTAAGCGCATGACTTTAAAGTTAAACCAATCTCTATTTTGACAGAGCAGAGAAAAAATATTATTAAACTGGAAATACAGCTTCAGACATCTCGGCAGTGAGAACTGTAAGTCTCCATCTGTTTTCAAGGTCATTTAACACGACCAATCACTCAAACCACACAAGGTTTTCTTTGCCATATGAAATTTGCTTAATGTTTCCTCTTTGTTACAGAAAAATCAGTGACTTTAATGTTTTCTAAGTATATGGGATGTGAGCAAAGACCAGCGTTGGAATCTTCTGGGAATACATATAAGCATGAGGAATTATCATCAGAGGTGTATGATATACTAAATATACTTGCATAGTCCTACTGTTGACATCCTAGGAAGTGTTCAAGGCCAGGATGGATGGCCTTTTGTGAAACCTGGTCCAGTGGAAGGTGTCACTGGCCATGACAGGGGGGTTGGAACTAGATTATCTCTGAGGACCCTTCCAACCCAAACCATTCTGTGATTCTGTGACCACTGGGGGTGATTATTGCCATTTACTTACCTCCTTGTCTACAGATTTCAGAAGCTTTCACACATTTACATCATAAATCTTCCTATACAAGAATTGCTTATACTTTCTCTCTTATACATTGCACTTACCTAATCCTTTAGGAGTAATGCCACTGCTATCTGCAGGATTAATCACCCAGTAGTAGTATTTCAGTGTGTGCATTAACTGTAGTACTGTTCCTACTCTGCGTATAGTGTTATAGATTGTAGCAGTTCCAATGAATTCAGCTGACAAGTAGGTATACAAAGACAGCTGCACCTGAAGAATCAAACAGTTATCCACATTAATGTGAGTTCTGTATTAGTAACCTTAAGTTGCAGGTTCTTTAGGATCTATTTTGGATATGATATATAAAAAATAAAACATAATTACAACTGTAGTTAGGGCAGGGACTGGACTGACACCTGGAATGACTTCTAGAGGCTGCTTCCAAAATCAATTTTCTATGATTCCATGATTTAAGGCATGATAAATGTACTGTTCTGTTTTTCTATTCAGGCCTTTTTTTACAAAAAGTGTATGTTTTCAGATTTTAGGACCATGTCACTTTTTGCTTTAGTTCACATTTCTAAACACTGATTATTTAGAGACACAACTGATTCATTTCTACCAGAGATGAGTGACAATTTTTTATAGTTTCTATCAATCTAAAATATGTAATTTAAATTAAAATGGAAACTTATGAGAATGTGTAACAAAACATTTATCACCTTTTCCTTACAATTAAAAATACGTACTTCTATGCTTAATCTCTAGGAAAGTAATGTGACGCAAGCCCTGAAAAAGGGACTGGGTTTCTAGAAACAGTCTTTCAAACAGAATCAGCCAAAACCTTAGGCAAGAATGTAACTGGTTTTAGGGGCTTACAGAAAGATACTGGAGAATATAGTTATGCAGGGTACAGACTTCACAATCTAAAAAAAATCTTTTTTATCATCACATATTAAAATAAAAAAACAAAAACCAAAACCCAAACAAACAAAAACCAAAACCCCAAGTACTATCGTATAAAAGAATACTAGCGTTTCATTTCACTGTAGGAGACTTGTAACATCATTCAACTGTACAATTACCTTTGCAGGGGTGTGTATCCAGATAGCAGGATTAAAAAGGATGTGATCACATAATTGCTTCAGTAGAGGTGCTCCATGAGACAATCCATCCAAATATTTTGCAAATGACAAAAATTGTTCCAGAACTGCTCTGGTTATATGAACTCTAGATGACTGGGGAAAAATAGAAAGAGCAAAGGTAAAGAAAAATCTTGTTCCTCAGTATACTTAGAGCAGGCTCATCTTTACTAAACACATGCAACGTTGTAATTTTTTTATGTCATTGAATATGAAAGTGAGAAAAAAAAAGTTATCAGCTACTTAAACTTTCTAATAATTCACAATAAGCCTAATGGCTACACACAGGTTAAAAATATTCATCAATAACTGAGGTTAATTCCCCCCCTTTTTTTTTTTTTTTGGAGAGGGGAGGAGGGAAATGGGTGTTGGTTTTGGTTTATTATAATGCAGTCAGAATTCTACATTCTACAACATAGTGCCTTAAGAAATTAATCTGAAGTCCTTAACTCTTCTTCAGTTAATGATGTGTCTTGTTAAAATTGGGTGTTGGACTATGCAAACACACAATAATGGTAGATTTGCTTTTGTTTCTTAAACATAAGCAGTTATCAGAAGAATGTGGGTACAAGGTTTCCTCAAATTTCAAGAGAGTCCTTCAGTTTCGTATCATAACGCTATAAAATCACTGTTGAGACTTGCTCCTATGCAGTAACATGGCATGTGGACTTCGACAAACTTCTTCATATACTAAGTTAACATAAGGAACTAATAGGAAAAACTACTAAAGGTCCTTCCCCCTGCCTTCTCTACAAAATGTTTCAATTACTTTTAATGCTGTAAGCACACGTTCCCGGTAATGCTGGGAAAATGCAAATATTTGTTACTTTTTAGAAGTGAAGTCCATTTGTCAGTAATACAAGTTCAGCCTGAATGCTGAGCTTAATTTGGCTTGTACATCACAATTCACAATAAGAAGTCTGCAACTAATAAGAACAACAATGTTATTTTGGAGTTCAAGTCAGAAAAAGAAAGCTTTCTGTCCTCTCTGAAGTATTTGATCACATGCAAATGAACAACAGATAATTTATAAATAATAAAATTGAGCTTGGCTAGGAAACAAAAGGATATTTTCCTGCCATGTGTGCCAAGTGAATATAAGCATCTACTGGAAATACAAAACACATCTTTTTGAAAACTGTAGCTAGGGAGAATATAACATAAAATCTCCCAGAAAAAAAAGCATACACTTCAAGAATTATGTTGTGACAAAATCAATCAAAATCCTTTAATATTCACATACTCCAAGTGTAATGATTGCAGCAGGTGCTATTTCACATACAGCATTCTAAATTGACGTATTCAATTAGTGTGTAAACCACAGTGCTCTATTCTAGTGAAAGGACTCCATGGAGGCTCACTTGCCTGTATATAACTTACAGAACTGGAGCTAACAGCTTTGTAAATTCATTAAGTCACAAGAAAACCTATCAGTAAAAAAAACCCAACACTTTAGACTAGTTCTTTGACATTCTAAATGACACTTGCTCAGTACAGAAAACACAGAAGCATAGAAAATAATCTGCTTTTAGATGTTACTTCAGTGAAGCATTTCTGCTATAAGAAAGTACTTCCCTAGCTGAAAATAACATAGGGACCAGAATAAGAGAAAGTATTTATCATTCTTATACAAAATTTAGTACCTTTTTAATGGTGAAATTATTGTTACTTAATTTCACTACTGGACAACACAAAGCTCTGGTCATGACTTCTTCTCAAATGATTGTTATACTGACTGCATGCTAATGAAAAATAAAGCAGCAGACATTCAAGAATGTCCGAGCAATGAGATTCAGTCATAGGAGTATTACTGTATTAGTACAGCCAACAATAGTTTTCAGATTATTAAATCACAGTAACAAGGTTTCATGAGGGCTTTGGGCCAGGAGGCAGGTTATATTCCTCACACAAGCATATGAGCTGGACCTCAGTTTTGTGATAACTGCTCACCAAGTCTGAAAATGAGCAAGTAAAGGGAATGCCCCTTGCAAATGTTTCTTTCAGAAATGAAATTATTTTACAGTTTTTCTTCTTCAAAACACAGAGCAACTATTCCAACAATTCAACAATTTCAGGATTGAGCCACAGAGGATTAACTTAATTTTTATTAACATTTTTATTAACAAAAATAGAAAATAAAAAAAGGAAAAAGAAATTTAATTTATGACACATTGTGGTATACTTGTACAAACTGGGAACAAAACAACTTTCCCAAATGAGAGTCTGGTGACAGCGAGTGGAGAAACACAAGTGATTATATATATTTAAATGCTTCACAAACAGACCTAAAGAAAATGCATAAATTAGACAAAGGCAAACAGGATCAGCTACAGAAAACTGATTCTTCCAGTATTGGCATGTAAGAGGATAACTATAAGAATTATAAATCAAAAATAACTTGTGCCACAAATACATTTTATTCCATCAGTCCTTTAAACTAAGTGACTGGAAATACCACAATGACAGCTGAAATACTAAGAACAGAGACAAAAAACCCCTCCAAACATACCTTTTCAAGGAGGTAGCCAATGACTAGAAAGCCTTTTCCACCAAGCATTTGTTCTTGCATGGCTACTGAACTCTTAAGAAGCTCAACCAAGAAAGCCAATAGCGTAGCACTGCATGTAAAGAACAAGCATTCTTTTTTAAGATTACAAATGTAGAAAACTCAATCTATCACATAATATTCCCCAGCTATTAAGTGAACAGAAACAGGCTTGAAGTAGTGAACAATTCCTTGAAAGAATACAAATCTTACTTTTCCTGTTGACAAGTTTCTCCAATGATTGCTCACACATTACAATGGTAGAAGCGGGAGTTCATATTCAGACAGAAGTGCAAAATTATTTTGTCAGTTCTCCTGATTTGACCAAGACTAACCCAGTTTTAAATATCCAGTCCTGCAGCTTGCAGTTCTAGCGAAATGTTTTGCAATCGGAAGAGGCAGCATATGATGAGTGTGATCCAGCTGACACTGCTAGAATGATGCAGGCAGGGGCCACGTCATTCATTTTACTACCCAGACTAACTATGCTAAACTGCAAAATTTGCATCAACTAGGTATATCAGCCTCCCCCACTTTCAGCCCCTCAAGTCACTACTATTATAGCAATGAGACATAAAATGGTTGAACA